AAAAAAAAAAAAGAAGATGCTGACCAGTGCACCATCCAACCCCTGCAGAGACACTTTCAGTTGCAAGGCTTATTCTTAAACAAACATCATCGAGACTGTTAATAAATCAAACTAAAACGCCCATCTCCAACACGCTCTCCAACAGCTCGCACGACAGGTGGAGGTACACCTGTACAGGCTTGAACATGACAGGTGAAATAAGCGCAGTCATACCATGGGAAAATATGCGCTTTAGTCACCTTAACGCCTGGCAGTTAAACGAATGGGAAAACTTACCCATGAAAACAGACGCATTTATGGTTATTCCTAATCAAAGATGCTTAAAATGTGCCGGTGTGGTTTAAAACGGTCGGAGAGGCGCTCCAGGACGCAATTAATCCTTAAAAATCCCCCAAAACTGAACAAATTTGCAAAAATAGTGTGAACATCTCTCAAAATAATAAGAGTGGGTATTTAGAAGAAAATAGTGTCAACATGGTAGTTGAGTAGGCTCGGAGTGGAGAGTCAGGACTACTTACTTGTCATGCTCCTGTGACATCTTGGTCGGTCGAACTGGACTTTCGAGTTGGTTCTGAAAATCCGACCCGTCTTCTTTAGGCTGGAAAACTCCTTCGCTACCGCTGGATGAGGGCCGCAGCAACAAACAAGGTGTCCCCTACTAAGAGAACGGGTTTTGTCGGCTTTTCTCGCTTTTTTACCTGTGATAAGGCTTTGGATTGGATTACAGGTGCACAGGTGGGCGGGGCCTCGTTGTCAATTACCCTGACAGCTGCGTCGATTGGCTGAAGTGGTGGCCTATACCTGGAGCTGTTGGAGACTGGAAGTAAACCAGTTGAACAATATTCTGAAGGAAAACAACAAACGAAACAAAAAAAAAAAAAAAACTGTGATTTGTATTATTGAGCTGTTTTAATGTTGGAGGGAATTACTGAAAGTAATTTAGTGTTATAAACTTTTGTTTTGTTTTTATTTTCAATTTCTCTAATAACTTTTTAATGCATTTTATAGGTCTGTATCACTGCATTTTGATCATTCTTGTTCAATCTATGCTTAATTATTATTTTTCATTGTTTAGATGCACATCTGTTTAATGACACCGTTATTATTGCCTTAATACTAAAGGATACCCAAAGTGATTTATCTTTTTTCTATAGTCAGCTTTTTCAGATCATATATGAAATAAAGAAATGTATCATTAAAGCTAAGATTTATGCATTAAAGGAAACTGAGCAACCCAAACCAATTTTGTCTTATGTAAAAAAATTTTTTTTTTTACATAGATTGACCACCTTTTTCCCCTTTCCAAATAGCTAATAGCTACACCCACAACTGATTACATGATTACTTTAATCAGTTAATATATTGAGAGACTTTTTAGAATATTAGCATAACTCAGTAAACAAAAAAAAAGAAAATATTTAAACTAAAAAAAAAAGATTAATTGGAAAATAAACAAACAAAAAACCCAAATATATTCAATGCATAAGAATGTTACTGAAGGATTTCTTAGTAGAGCAAATTCAAAGATAAAGAAGGTTTTTATTTATTAATTGTTATCCTAAAGGAGAAAACATTGAAAAGGCATTCCTAACAAAAATATTTGTTATTCCACCAGGGAGTCACAGAATAAGTCAAAAACATCTTAAAATCTGCAAACATAATCTCACCAGTGAGAAAGAGTGACTGAGCAAAAGTTTCCTTCGTGGAATAATTATCAAGGCCAAAACCACTGCAGAGGGCACAAAAATGATAATAAAGACTCATATCACATTTACAAAAAAGTAAGTTCATGATTGAAAACTTCGGGAAAAATATTACATGAACCAATGAGACAGGGGGGAACTCCAGTTACTGCTTTTTATTGTCGTGCTGTGTTGATATCTGATTTATCTTATGATTCTTTTATGCCTTTGCATCATTCAGAGAGCCAGAAAATCTCTAAATATACATAAAAAAACAGCAACTACAAGGTACAATTCTGAATAATGTAAAAGTCAAACATGAACTGATTAAACTAAACGTCTGACTAAATGAATGACTTCACTACACTGGATGTATAAAAGCAAGTCTATAATAACCTGGGTCAGACTTTAAGAGAGAGGAGCCAGGAGACTAAAAGCGAAATGGTTTTGAATAAAATGGTTTCTGCTTTTTAGATTGGATTCAAGTAGTTGCCTAAATCCCAGCTTCTGAGAAACAATGATGTCAGAGCGTGACCTTTGACCAAACCTTTGGCCCCAAGCAAGTCAGACAGAAAAACTGAAAGCTTTCAGGGCCGCTCCACACCTTCTTTTCTTTTTCCGGTCTATTTAAATAACATTTCTTGTATAATTGGTTCTCTGGTTGAGCCCCTCCTGCTTCAACCTTCAACCAGGCTTGACTAGTTTACATATTGATCTTTCCACAAATTTTATTAATGAACTGCTGTGCATATACCTCAAAAATATCGGCGATATTGTTGTTAACCAGGCTAAACACTGTTCAGTGAGCCGTTTCTTTGTCCAGTAGACAACACAATGATGGAAACACCTCCTTGGCTTCACAAAACAACAATATTCATTTAACTCAGGGTTTTTGTTAATGAAATCCTATGTAATTTTTTTTGTCACATTTTATTGGATAAATAAACAATAAAAATCAATCATCTATATTCTAAAACGATTCAGTCCTTATGGCCCCACAAAACAAGACAATTACTCTGCATCATTTTGAAATATTTTCTCACAATGTAGTTGATTTAAAATTATATTCTGTCTTTCCACATTAAAGATGTTGACCTTTGTACAATTTGCTAATGTCAATGTCTTATATTTTTTTCTTTCTTAATTTTAGTAATTCTGCTTGAGTTTTTATTTAATTTTCATCAAAAAGTTAATTGATAAAACCTATGATAAAATATTTCAGGCCTCAATATGAAGCATGTTTGACTGAATAAGGCTGCAGCTGAAAGATAAATCTTGCACTAAAAGTTCTCTTGCATTGAGGCACCAAAATGAGATCTAGATCAATCATCTAAAATCAGTCTTTGGAAATAGAGCAACATGTAGAACATGCTCAGAAAGGACTAAAGAACCGAATCACTAAAGTTCACCTCAGTTAAATAAATTTTCCATACAATCAGTTTGAGAAGTTCCTCTTTAATGTTATGGGACAGTTTTCCCTCCTGTTTAAGCTCGCTTTGCCCTAACCCTAACCCAAAAAGTTGTTTATATTCTCCTGGGGGGAACAAGCTCTCTTTCGTCACCACATATGTAGGCAAATTAGTCCTGAAGGGTTCAGAAAAACTAAAGAGAAACGGTGATATTGCATGCAAACAATCCAGGGGATGGAGGCCCCTCAGGGAACGGTTGGCTGTCTGCAACGTCCTGCAGCGTGTGGCTGAATGTGGAAGTCTGGCATATGACTTTTAGATGATTATCTATGTTTCCATCTTTCTGCTTATTTTAAGCCGACTTAAGAGAATTAAGACCCACAATGTTGCTGTGATCCAATTGTAATACAAACTCGAATGAGATGAAATGAAACAGTAAATGATAACAAACAGCTTTGTTGAAGGCTTAAAAGATCCTATCAGCTTTATTCAAAGTTTCTTTCCACACAGGCAAAAACTGACAGGGAGCCCCCACCCTCCCCCCACCAAACCAACATACAGGCACCACCTCCTCCTCCTGGATCCTGCTTCTCTGTTGATCTATCCCGGTGCAGGGACACCTGCTTCTATTGGATCTTGTTTGTGTTTGCACTGAGGACATGGGATAATGCAGTCAGGGAGGGATGTATAGATAAATGTTTGTGTGGGAGAGAAACGGGAGGTTGGGAAAACGCGGCAGTGCTGCTGATACTGACAAAGTGGGGGAACAAACAATATGAGGCGGTTCATGGATCAAAGCTTAGGAATCTGTTAATTCCTCGAATACAGCAGATTATAAAGTCTACAGATCCCTTTTATTATGGCAGGTTTTTATGATGTGAAAATTGATACCAATATAAAAGAGCAACCTTTTAAACCCTTTCATGCATAGTGATCACTACATGTGTACAGCTGTTTAAAAATGTTCCTATATATGTATATATATATATATATATATATACATATATATATATACAGTATTATATATATATGTATATATATACCTTAAATTTTGGGCATTTATGCATATCGTCCAGTTTAATGGTTTAAACTGTTCATAACTCCCTTTACCTTGGCTAAGTGTGGTGGATTTGGTTGAATTCCAAAACTTTAGACATTATGGCCAAAAACCTTCACTCAGACCATAACCCACTTTCCCCATTCATTCCACTTTATTTTTTTTAAATCGTTCTCTCTGAGAATGGTTGAAAAGCTATGTCTGACTTTTGTGTATTTTGTATTCTTCATATAATAATTATTTATATTTTTTTCAGATTTAAGTTATGTCTTTGACCGCTTTTCTTTCATTAAATGAGGAGTAGAATTTTACCCACTTGAGTGCATTCAAAGACAGACGATGGCACTGACAGAAATCTGGCTGACTACCATCAGTAAGCAATGCCGCGGAAGTTTCTTGGCTTAAGATTCAATCACAGCAACAGACAGAACTAATCCCCCAGTTAGAGGATACTCCTGCATCCTTCACCACTGTTACATGTATGACAGTCATGGCACAATACTACAAGTATTGTGCCATGACTGTCTCCCCTTTGTTCTTGGATGCTCTTTTTTACTTTTCCCTTTTTCTTTCTTATCTTTTGTATTCTCTTGAAAGACCACAGATATTGCTGTGAATTGAGTAAATACCTTCTAGAATATCTGAGCACTATTTTGGATCTATAATAGGCAACTTCTATAGAGGCAGGTACTATGTACAAACTGCTATTTAATCTAATTATATCCAGGTCCTAGTGAGGATGTGGAACAGGTGTATATGTAATTGGTAATACATATAAAAACCAATATTTGGGTTTCCTATCCACCATTTACAAAAATAAACAGCCATAATGTATAATACTATACTACAACTATACTTTTTAGAGTTTTTAGAATTTTTTTTGCCTTGTTTGAGGAAATGACCCAAAATATGACTTTTGAAGAAGGTCTTTTCTAAAGAAGATATCTCTAAAATAAACTCCCCTTATTGCTTTATAAAACATAATCTAACAGAATTCCTTGTGAGGTTTCTAATACAAGTTCAAAGTGGAGAGACTCAGAAGATGACAAGCAGGAAATATCAGAGTTTATTAACATGAATACACATATCTAGGTGCTCAGACCCCGACGACGTAGAGCTGAGCATTGCTGTTGATGATGGAATGAGCAGAGTTATGAGAATGGAGACATATTCCTTCCAGTGCCTGATCACTGATTTGAAAGGAATAGGAAGTACATCAGGCTGAAGAGGGCACAGGTGGGTTGCAGCTTGGTTGGAAGTCATTGATCATATTGATGCAGCTTAAAAAGAAGGGTCTTGGATGCTACCAGGTGCTAAGGAGGCTGAGGAAGCAGAAAAGATTGCCAGAGGGGAATCAGGATGAT